ATTTCTCATTATCCAGTCCTCTAATTTATGAAGCAAGTGCTTAGCATAAATTTTTGCTGAAATATCGATTAGACTAATTAATCGAAAATTATCAGGATTATCTCTAGAACCTTTTTTATGTAAGGGGATAATTATTGATGAACGCCAACTGGCAGGAATTTGCCCTGTTCTATTGATAAAAGTAAAGAGACCCGCCAAGACAGGCGCCCACCAGGCTGTGTTGTCTTTAAATAAGGATGCCGGGAGCGCATCCTGTCCTGGAGCTTTGTTTATCTTCAGGGAGGAGATTAAACGCCTCACCTCCGTGACTGACACTTCTTCCCACTGCGGTAAGGCTTCATATTCCTGTATCAAGCTCGGAGAGGATATAAGCTCATCAGAGTTTTCTACTGCTGCTGGCGTGGCCAAATGCTTCTCCCATCTTTCTGCACTAATGTTTGGGTCACTTATTGGTTTTCTATCTCTAATAATTTTTGAGACCTCCAACCAGAATAGTGTGGGGGAAGCCAGCTTTGCTGCCTGTTCTAGACCAGCCCATAGGTTGTTGATATAGGAGGCCTTTTTTCTCTTCAGTAGCTGCTTATATTTCTGCCTTATGGTAATATACTCCTTCTGTAGTTCCATGTTTGGGCTGCTTAAGTATCTCCTAAGTGATTTCCTAAGCTGTTTTTTCTTTTCCTTACAGTCACTGTCAAACCATGATGAGTTACTAGAATCAGACGGGCCCATTGGCTTGGTAGTCATGGAAAAATGCTTCAATTTATGGCATATTTCCGCAAAACAAACTATAGGCTCTTGTTCACCCGTACTGTTTGCGCATATATGCGCTAAGGCTTCCATACATGGTGAATTCATAAATTCAGTCACTGCTTTGCTATCAACCCTCTTCCATGTTAATCTTTTCTCTTGGGCTATTTCTAAGTTGAGGCCTATTTGTTGGATTGATTGATTCCTTTTCCTTAAATCTGAAGGGATTGCCAGGGACGTCGCAATAGGAAGGTGATCACTTTCTGACCTTGGTAACGTCAAGACCGAAGTTGCCCCTGCTACTAGGCTGTGAGAGACACAAAAATAATCAATAGAACTACATGCCTTGGGGCCAAAAAAAGTTATGGGGTACCTTCTGAGCTCCGAGTACTGGCCTACAATTTGGAGGTTACAGTTATATATCATAGTTAGAAATTTTCCCCCATCTTTGTTCTTTTTCCTGTCTTGGGAGACCCATGATTGTTGGTTATGTAAATATCCCTCAGGAATTGTACCGTTTTCAACAAAAGGTTCCAACGAGGGACCCACACACGCATTAAAGTCTCCTGCCAAAATTAGAGGTGTTTTTGTGAATTTTTTCCGTATTTCTAATATTTTTACCTCTAGAGCCTCCCACAAATCCCCCATTGCTGGGTTGACGTACACATTTGCAAATATCATTGACTTCCCTTCATATTCCAAATGGATTGCTTGAAAAAATAAAGGGCCATCCTCCAAGCATATCTCATTTCCCTTCCATCCTAGTTCGGCTTTCACCAAAATGCCCAATCCTCCAGAGGCTCTTCCTTTTTTAGCTACTCTCTTTGCTGGCAGCTGCCAAATATTAAACCCGTGGAGCTCAATTGGGGTCTCATCGTTGCTAACCCATGTCTCCTGCAAGGCAATTACATGGTACCTATTTAAAAATTTAATACAATCATCTGTGCACCAACTTCCTCTCCATCCTGCCACATTCCAAGAGAGGAAGTGCACTCTTGAAGGATGTGGTTGCTCACTATTTCCTAGTCAGGCTTCTTGGATAATCTCTCCTACCCCTCCTCCCTCGTTTACACACACACACCCATTTAATCGCCTGAGTTCAATAGAAGTCTGTTTGGGCATCATTGCACTGCCTGTTACTTTCGGACTTGCAGGTCCATGGGCTCTATTAATCTCTGCCTCCACGGTAAATGATTTTGCATGAGGCACCGCGTTTGTGTCGTTTCTTGGTATCATCTTTGCCGCTAAGGGGGATTGGGGGATTCCTTCCTGGGTGCCTTCCATCTCCGATGTTTGTCCCACAACACTTTGTGTTATCAAATCTACTGTCTCTGGTACCTTGTGCTGTATAGACATGGGCATCAGGCTTCCTGGGTTTATAGGCTGCTGGCTCTCCGGAGCTGCCTCGTGCCTTGAAGGGGGTAGAGCTATCGACGCTAAAGGAACGGCAGAAGAAATAGTCTGCTTCAGCAGCTTCCTCGTCTCTTTAAGTTTTTTAAGTACTTCTTGCTGCTCCATTTATGAAAGTGAGGAAAAAGTTTCCAAACAGGCAGAATCAAATGTCTCATCTTGTACCAAGCCAATTGAAGGAAGTTTCACTTCAGCTGGGTCCAACACCCTAACCGACATTTCCTCTGTAACGCTAAATCTCCTCCCTACCTTGGCCAGCCTGCTTTCCCTATTCAGTCCACTTTCCCAAACAGCTGTCCCATGCACTGCCACACTCTCCCTAGGGGGTCTCTGAATTAGCGGAATGGCCTCACCACTAGAGAAAACTCGGGTAGGTAAAATTTAATAATAAGCCAAAAATCCTCTCATTCGCATAAGCAGGCTTGGGAAGAGCTGTTGTTTGAACTTAAAAAGAATTCTGATATAATTATCACGTTGTGGAAGATGTTCATATGCTGCCAAATCTACTGCCCCCTTGTCACACCGAGTAAGCTGTGACAAAGAGGTCACTATCTGTTTTTTTGAAGACCATCTACCCACATTTATCTCAGAATTATATATATTCAATACAATCTGCTCCTTCAATAATCGCCTGTTTCCCCCCCCCCCACTCTTGTACCGTGGGATTTCAGGTCCAACCAGCTCACCATCTCTTGCTTTTTTTCCATGCTTACAGTCAATATATTGTCCGCTTGTTCTTTCCCTCGGTTGCACCATCTGGCCAGGTCGTTCTGTCTGACAGCCAGTTGAATGTACCTGCGGCTTTTTCGTCTGTGCCGCAGAAATAAGATTGATCACAGAGTCCAACTTTAAACGCACCTCTGCAAATTGGTCAAAAATGGCCAAGACTGTCTGAGAAGTGAGCATACTGTGTCGGCTAATGAAATCCCTTGTACTAACATTTAGCTGGTTTTCAAGTCCTAAAGCTAATTCACTATGGTTGTAAAACTCCGACTCTAAGCCCTTGTCCCGGCCTGGAGCCGATTCACCCAAAGTTGCTGAGTCATTTGTTGTCAAATTACGCAGAGGGGTTCGCAGGCTTCCCAGCTGACTTCCTGATTGATTCTCCTCTGCCTGCAATTCCCACTCCAGGGGGGAATCCCCAAACAATGCCAAAACATCACAGCTAACCGGCAGGGAAAGGGGGGAGGATGCACGACCCACTGTTGAGTGCAAAGGCTGGCAAAATCCGTCAATCTTCTGTTGCTTTTGAGGATTGGTTCCAACTTCCTTACTGTTTGGTGAGCAATATGCCGTCTTTCTTTTCTTCCCCTTGGGAGAGGCCATCCAGACTCCAGTCAAACACGGCTGCAAAGGTTCTTCCCGGGAGCGTCTGCAGCCAGCCAGTTCCTTACTGTACTCGTTCCAAAAACAAACAGCTCAAAATCCCCTCCGAGGTTAGGGGCCTCCACTGAGGTTTGTCAACAAGTCCGGTAATCCGAGTTTCAGGCCTTGCAAGGAGAAGTCGCAGGAGTAGCCTAAGCCAGGAATGCAGGTTGTAGTATTGTTAAAATATGTCTAAAACAAGCAGTAGCCACACTATATGTGCTTTGTAAAAGTCCAGTATAAATTAAAAATAGATTAAAAATGAATTAAAAATATAAAAATACTTTAAAAACGTTAAAAAAGAAAAACCTAATTTGCTTTTGGGAGAGCTCCTTACAGCCGTTCTAAAACCCGAATCCTACTCTCCAGCTCATTCTATTCTATTGAATTCCATATTTGTGGATGGTGAGTCAGACTGTTTTAAGATATAAATTTAGTGCTCTTTCAAAAGAGTGCTAGACTTGTGTTCAGAGCATTCCTTCTACACGTACAACCTGTCACTTGGGCAGCTTCAAAAGTCTAGAAGGCTCTGTTGGCTGTTAATGAAGTTAAATTAACAGCCCTTGTTCAGAAAAGACTGATTTAAACTGTATTTGTGTTCGAACAGCTACTAAGAAACCTCATTAGTAGTCCTTAATTAGTAAACTAAAGTTTGTACGGACTTTGTGTGTGCTGCGTTCTTTGGGGTCCGTAGTTGGGGCAGAACAGCTTAACAATCGAGTTACTAGCAACCACTGCAGTGATTCACTGAACAACTGTATCAAGAGAGGTTGTAAAATGGGGCAAAATTCACTTAACGACTGACTCGCTTAGCAACAGAAATGTGTGTGTGTGGGGGGGGGTCAGTTGTGGTCGTACATTGAGGTCTACCTATACTTGCTGACTAAGGCTGAACCAAACTTTTCCCAAGGCTAGGGAATGCCTTGACCTCATGAAGGAAAAGGGCAGACTCTAGTTCTGTGATGGCGAACCTAAGGCAGGTGTGCCTGAGTTGGCATGCAGAACCATCTTTCCGGGCACGCGAGCTGTCACCTAACTCGCCTGCAGCTGCGTATGCGCACGGACCCCAGCTGGTGTTTGGGCCTCCAGTGCGCATGGGCACAATTCCGGAGAGCCAGCTGGTCTTCAGAGCTCTCCTATGCATGCACGTGCGAGTATCTGAGGGTAGCGCACGCATGAGCAGATGGCGTTTGCACATGTGCATTGCGTGTGTGAAAGCCGTGCACATGTACAGATGGTGCAATTGTGTGCGCAGCGCATGGGGGAGCTGCACAAAAGTTGCATGCGTGCACAGATGGTGCGGTTTGAGTACGCAGTGCCCGGAGGAGGAACTGCATATAAGCGAAGCATGTACCATGTTTGGCACTCGGTGAGTAAAAGGTTCACCACCTCTGCTCTAGTTGTTCAGCTTCTTTAAGAAAGCTTCAAGAGTTGATCATTCTGGATAAATAATTGATTTTTAATTTCTTTTTTAATAGCACAAGGTCTTGTTTGCAGAGTTTGTAAATACAAAATCGGCTTACTGTGTTTTAAACCTGGAGACCCCTGCAAACCTAAGCCTGGCCAGCTATGTGAGACAACCGAAGTTTATACAGGTAGGAACAAATCCAATACTTTTCAGAAATTTTATTCAAGACCTGGGGGTACTTATTGTATTTGCACAGCTATGAGAAATAGGGGATGTCTGATCTGGGTACAGATCTTGGAATCATAACTCCGTATAGTTAAACTTGACTTTTCTTAAAGTCATCAGTGAGATAAGGCTGGGACCGTAAGGAAAATGCAATTTAGGCTGCATTAACAGAGGTTGAATCATCAAAACAATGGAAATAGAAATTTTGTGTGCTGTGTTTTAAGAAATGTTTGAGAAACTGGGACAGATGAGAAGAATGGCGAATAATTTGCTCCAATAATTGAGAATGAAGACTCACAAAATCACTCAATGAGTGTATGAGTTGTGTTTGAGTTAGATAACAGGGGATTAAGCCAGTATTGGGATTCAAATCCCGGTGCTACCAGTTCGCTATCGGTAGTGTGCAGGTGCGCTCGCTTGGTTTGCGAGTGTGTGGCGCTTCTGCGCATGCACAGAGTATTTTTGATAACCACCACTACTGGTGTTCCCAAACTGGGGAGAACCGAGAGCAATGAGGGCTGTTTAATCAGTACTGTGGGTGGGAGGGGCAGATACGGTGATAGCAGGGGGCCATATCATGTTCTGGGAGTGTACACTTGCTGTCTTCGAGTGATTGCGCACTCCGGTCCCCAATGCTCTTCTCGTTCCCCGGGCTGCACAGATCCTCAGGGCCTGGGTCTCCGGCTGATGTTGTGCAATGCCAGGTCCGTGGTAAATAAAGCCCCCCTCATTTACGACCTTATTCAGGAGGGGGGAGTGGACCTGGTGGGTATTACGGAGACCTGGTTGGGTACGGAGGGGGGAGTGCCCCTTGTTGAAATGTGCCCACCAGGTTTCCATGCATTCTATCAGCCGAGGGCCCAGGGTAGGGGCAGGCAGGTGGTGGCTGTTATTAAAGAAGGTCTTTGTCCGAGGGAGGCCACTGTACCTCAGATAGCCAGATGTGAGTCCCTCCTTGTGAAGTGGGGTCGTGGGGTGCAGATGGGTTTGCTGATTGTGTACCTGGCTCCTTGTCACGTAGCGGCGGCCCTGCCTGAGCTGCTCAACGTAATAGCCGGGGTGGCCCCCGGACCTATAGTCATGGGGGATTTCAACCTGCCATCCATCAGTGAAATGTCAGAAGCAGCCTGGGAGTTCATGGCTTCCATGATGGCCATGGACCTGACCCAGTTAATTCAAGGCCCTACTCACATGTGGGGGACACACTCTGGACCTGATTTTTGTCTCTGGTCAGTGGTTGAATGATCTAGAAACAGGGGATATAGTCACCAAGCCCTTGTCATGGTCAGATCATTCACTCTTTCGACTAGACTTTCGAGCCGCTAACCTCCGCCGCAGGGAGATGGAACCGACCAGGTGGTTCTGTCCCAGGCGCCTGATGGATCCGGATAGGTTCCTGACGGAGCTTGGGCCATTCCCTGAGGCTCTGGCTCACGACTCGACTGAAGAACTGGTGGCTGCCTGGGATAGGGCGGCCGCTGGAGCTTTGAACTGTGTTGTGCCTTTGCGGCCTCTGACCCGGTGCCGATCTCTTATATTAAGATCTACCTAGTGGCGATAAGGGCGGCAAAATCAAACTATTTTTCCACTCTTATTGCATCTGCAGAGAACCGCCCAGCAGCCCTGTTTAGGGTGACCCGCTCCCTTCTCCATCTGGGAGTGAGGGAAGACCTCTTGCAGGATAGGGCTGAGGATTTTGTGCAATTCCTGCATGACAAAGTCACTCAGATTCGGGAAGGCCTGGACTCCGACTGGGTAGATTCAGATGGGGTGACGGAGGTGGGTCTTGAGAGTGTTATCTGGGAGGGGTTTGACCTTGTGACTCCCGAGGACATGGACAGGATTCTGGGTAAGATTAGCGCTGCCACATGTTTATTGGACCCGTGTCCCTCCTAGTTGGTACTGGCCTCCCGGGCGGTTACACAAGGCTGGCTCCAGGGGATTATTAACGCTTCTCTGAGTGAGAGTTTCTTCCCTCCCTCCCTGAAAGAGGCGGTGGTGAGGCCCCTCCTCAAGAAGCCTTCCCTGGACCCGGCTGTATTAGCAAACTATCGTCCAGTCTCCAACCTTCGCTTTGTGGCGAAGGTAGTTGAGAGTGTGGTGGTGCGACAACTCTTCCAGTACCTGGATGAAGCTGTCTATCTAGATCTGTACCAGTCGGGCTTCAGGGCAGGGTACAGCATGGAAACGGCATTGGTCGCATTGGTTGATGATCTCTGGAGGGCTCGGGACAGGGGTTGTTCCTCTGTCCTGGTCCTATTAGACCTCTCAGCGGCTTTTGATACCATGCTGCGCCAATTGGAGGGGTTGGGAGTGGGGGGCACCATGTTGCAGTGGTTCTCCTCCTTCCTCTCTGACTGTACACAGTTTGTGTTGGCAGGGGGGCAGAGGTTGACCTCGAGGTGCAATGTCTGTGGGGTGATGCAAGGGTCGGTCCTCTCGCCCCTCCTGTTCAACATTTATGTGAAGCCGCTGGGTGAGATCATCCATGGTTTTGGGGTGAAGTGTCATCAGTATGCTGATGATACTCAGCTGTACATTTCCACCCCGGACCACCCCAGTGGTGCCCTTGACATGATGTCCCGGTGCCTGGAGGCCGTGCGGATCTGAATGGGGAGAAACAAGCTCAGACTCAACCCTTCCAAGACCGAGTGGCTGTGGCTTCCAGCGTCCCGATATAGCCAGCTAGGTCCATCGCTGACTATTGGGGATGAGATCTTGGTCCCCTCAGAGAGGGCTCGCAACTTGGGTGTTCTCCTGGATGCGCGGCTGTCTTTAGAAGACCATATGATGGCTGTGGTCAGGGGAGCGTTTTATCAGGTTCGCCTGATTTACCAGTTGCGTCCCTTTCTGGACCTGGCCGCCTTGCGCACGGTCACTCACGCCCTCATCACGTCCTGTCTGGACTACTGTAATGCTCTCTACATGGGGCTCCCCTTGAAGAGCACTCGGAGGCTCCAACTGGTCCAGAATGCAGCCGCACGGGTGATTATGGGGGCGACACGGCGCACCCATGTAACAGTTCTCCTGTGCGAGCTGCACTGGCTCCCGGTGGTCTTCCGGGTACGATTCAAGATGTTGGTTACCACCTTTAAAGCGCTTCATGGCTTAGGACCTGGGTATGTACGAGATCGCCTTCTGCCACTGATAGCCTCCCACCGGTCAATACGCTCCCACAGAGAAGGACTCCTCAGGGTGCCGTCGGCCAAACAATGTCGACTGGTGACACCCAGGGGGAGAGCCTTCTCTGTGGGGGCACCTGCCCTCTGGAATGTAGTGCTCCCGGAAATTTGCATGATCCCCGATCTCCATACCTTTTGCCGTGCCCTTAAGACTCTTTTGTTCCAACAGGCCGGGCTGGCTTAGCAAATGAATTTTAAATCGGGTGTTTGTAGTTTTTTAACATAAGGGCCAAATTTTATATATATATAGATTTTAAATTGTTTTTAATTTTTTGGGTATGTGTTTGTTTTAATATGGCTGTACACAGCCCTGAGTCCTTTGGGAGAAAGGCGGTATAGAAATTTAATAAACTAAACTAAACTAAACTAAACCCACCATTGGATTAAGCAGAACTAAATTTCACTTGATTTTTTTAAAAAAAATGTACATGTAAATAATGCATACCAAGGAACTCTGCCTGTTGTAACATTCATGATAGCTTTTGGAGAAGCCCAAAGACCACAGTCAAACCTGGAATGTTAGATTGCATATCTCCAGGTTAATCTGTATGAAAAAAAACCACAAAATATTATTTTCTAACCAGAAAAGGAGAGTTTAAAAGAGAATACCAATGTTACTTTTCAACCCGTTAAACTGAGGTGGTCTAATTAGAATCCTATCATAAGGACTGCTTTCTTCATTCTGAGTCCATTTACAAATTGAAATTATAGATCAGAAATACTTGTGTCCAAAAAATAAAAAATAGAACACCTGAGGCAGAAGGAAATAGATACTCTTTCCTGTTTCTTCTAGACAAACACAAGATTGGCCCAGTGCTTGTTTTTCTTATATTTATTTATTAATCAAAATTATATACCTGCCTATCTCACTAAAAGGAATTCTGAGTGCTGCACAACACAATAAAACAATATAGAAAAACAGATCAGCGACCTGCAACTCTCTGCCAGTGAAAACAGAGCTCATTTCTGGGTGCGGCAGCCTCCTGCAACTCTTTGCCGGCGAAAACGGAGCTCACGAGGGCCGCGCTTGGCCCTCCTGAGCTCCGTTTCCAGCTGCAATGGCCTCCTGCAACCCTCGGCCAGCGAAAACGGAGCTCACAAGGCAGTGGTGAAATCCAAATGTTTTTACTACTGGTTCTGTGGGCGTGGCTTGGTGGACGTAGTGTGGCTTGGTGAGCGTGGCAGGGGAAGGATACTGCAAAATCTCCATTCCCACCCCACTCTGGGGCCAGCCAGTGGTGGTATTTGCCGGTTCTCCGAACTGCTCAAAATGTCCGCTACCGGTTCTCCAGAACCTGCTGGATTTCACCCCTGTCACGAGGGCTGTGCGTGGGCCTCCCAAGTTCTGTTTTTGCTGGCAGAGGCACCGTGGGCCAGTCCTTCACTGTTTCCAGATCTAAGCACCACGCAGGCCAGAACTAGAACATCATTTGGCTGATTCATACCTATGTCAGCCCATAATTGGCACGAGCTGTTTATTGTATGAAATAGCATAAACCTCCTCCAACAAAACAGTTCTCTTCAGCTACCTGTCCAATAGGAGCCTGGAGAGCTCAACAGACAGAGCTCTGTAATTTAACACCAGCTGTCTGCAATTAAAGTAAGATCGAATCTCGCCAGGCTCAAGGCTGACTCAGCCTTCCATCCTTTCTAAGGTAGGTAAAATGAGGACCCAGTTTGTGGGGGCAATAAGCTGACTTTGTATAAAATATACAAAAGTATGAAGGCTATTGCTTAACGCACTGTAAGCCGCCCTGAGTCTCCAGAGAAGGGCGGCATATAAATCAAATTTAAAAAATAAAATAAAAAATAAATGTAGAACTAAACCTCTAGCTGTGCCAAAGGGGCTTTCCCCCCCCCCCCCCAAAAAAGACAACTGGACTTTCTTGGTTCTTTTTCTTTGAAAATGTTTCGCTTCTCATCCAAGAAGCTTCTTCCAGTTGCCTTTTGAGAAAAAAAAAGGGGGGGGAAGGACCTTTGGGATAACTATGAACTGGATGATTATGAATCTCCATAGACATTAAGTCTCTAGCTTCCATCAATCCCAGCTAAGTGGCAAGCTTTATAGCAGGGGTGTCAGATTGAAGGCATGGGGGTTGGATCTGGCCCACAGGGGGCTTGGATCTGACCTGCGGCCTCCACTACCCTGGAAATAGTGAAGGACCAGCCCACAGTGCCTCTGCCAGTGAAAACAGAACTCTGGAGAGCTGTGTGCGGTCCTCCCGAGCTCTGTTTTCACTGGCAGAGGGTTGCAGGAGGCCGTCGTAGCCAAAATGGAGCCTGGGAGCCCGTTTTCACTGGCAGAGAGCTCGAGCCATCACAGGCACCCCTGACACGAGTGACGTCAAGCTGGCCACTCCCACCCTGGCCACGCCCACTCCGGGCCGCCCAAGGTCAAACACAACCTTGATGCGGCCCTCAATGAAATCGAGTTTGACACCCCTACTTTATAGGAATTGAACCAAGTATACAAAACTGGAGATTTCATGCATCGACTGAATGAGGATGTGCAAACAAATACGAGCCAGTCTATTGGGATTTGAAGGTGGGGTAGTGGGTGGGGGCACACTCCAAGCTCTCTCCAGGAAGTGACTCATCTGTATGATGCAGAGATGTAATCTCAGTTGTTTGTATCTCACGTTTCTGTTTTGTTTTTTTTTTTGTTTTGTTTTTTCTTCTCTCATCAGCTGGCTTTCTGTTCTATAAAAATTACGGGTGTGGTGAACATAGAGAACTCTGTGGCAGGTCCGAACGGAGGGACACTTTATTTGGAAGAATCTACAAGCATACCTGCTGCGATACCGATTTATGCAATAAGGACTAAGCTTCAACGTCCAATGTTTAGCACAGCTCGGCTTGGGAAGGCAGGGGAAAGCTGTAATGCTGTAAAGGCTGATCCTGATGTGTTTTTTCTTTTTTCTTTTCTCCCGGCTTAAAAGAAACACCCACATTGTTCTCCCATCCCTTTGTTTTTGTTGTCGTCCCTACCTACGCCAGAACATGGTCTCACTTTCCAACCCTTTGTGATCATAATGGCAGCTCACACCACAAAGCTGCCCGTTTTGTGAGCTCTTTCGGAAGAAAGAGTAAGAAGTAAGACCACCCATTTCCGGAGGCACACTTACGGTAGATCATTTTGGAGGTTGGATGGCATCTCCTCCATACCCTCCTGAGAAAATACATAGCTTTTCGTCCACTATCCCAAAGGTGCTTTTTCAGGAGGTAACTGGAATGTCTTGGTTTTTTGTTGTTGTTTTGAGGACATTTCGCTTCTCATCCAAGAAGCTTCTTCAGCTCTGACTGGATGGTGGGGAATGGAAAGATTTATATTCCTTGCAGTCAGCTGATCATTTGCATCCTTTTAGAGGGTCGTTGAAGCACTTGGAGGTTTATCTGTGTCCTCAGGACTTTTAGCTATACAATTTGGAATGAACACTCTTTGAATGGCTTGGGAGTAGGAATGGATTTCCAAAATAAATAAATAAATAAAAAATTACAGATTACAGGAATCAGGAGCACTACTTTAGTTGACCCTGAGGACACAGATAAACCTCCAAATGCTTCAACAACCCTTTAAAAGGATGCAAATGATCAGCTGACTGCAAGGAATATAAATCCTTCCATTCCCCACTCTTCTGTCAGAGCTGAAGAAACTTCTTGGGTGAGAAGCAAAACGTCTTCAAAAGAAAATAAAACAACAAAAACAAGAAAGTCCAGTTAAGCTATTTTCCAAAGCACCCAAAGGCCAGACAAGGAACAATAGATGGAAACTGATCAAGGAGAGATTCAACCTGGAAATAAGGGGAAATTTTCTGACTCTGAGAGCAATTAACCAATGGAACAGCTTTGCCTTCAGAAGTTGTGGGACCTTCATCACCTGAAGCTTTCAAGAAAAGACTGGACTGCAATCTGTCAAAAATGGTGTAGGGTCTGTTTCAGCAGTGGGTTGGACTAGATGACATACACGGTCCCTTCCAACTCTGTTAATCTGAATCTGTGTCTCATAAATTCTAGTTTCTGGTTTTTTGTTTTTTTTCTCCCATGGTTCCTCTCAGAAATTTTGCTCTTTTTCACTAGTAATAATCATATCAGCCTTGAGGAACAGATAGATTATGCAAATTAAGCGCTTCTATCATATAATGGTTACTATTTTTTTTTCTTTCCATGTAAAGACTAAAAAAAAAAAGGAAGGGTGCCATTTTTGTCTGCAGCAGACCAAAAAAAAATGCTTGGTAGGTGATCAAAATGAAAAATGCTTCTTTCATTGTTGCCGCATCTGAACTTACATAAGGATCGTGTATATAAAGAGAAGGATGTGCTGGCTTGCCTTCGTGTTCTCTATGATTGCTGCCCTTTTCGTATAATGCTCTGATATTGTACAGCTTCCTAACCTCTTCGGCTTGAAGGAATGAATAAAACTGATTAATTGACCACTCCTCTTCCATCTAAGCCTTTTTCTTCCCCTAGCTAGGATTTGGCAGTTTGGCAAAAGGATCTTATGATAGATCAGTGGTGACAAACCTATGGCACGCATGCTAGAGGTTGCACACAGAGCCGTCTCTGTGGACACATGAGCCGTCACCCCAGCTCAGTTCCACCGCGCATGTGCACATACCTCCCGCTCAGTGGTGGGTTCCTCCCGGTTCGACCTGGTTCTCCCGAGCCGGTAGCAGTGACGATATGATGTCACCGAACCAGTTCTGCCCCCTGCTCCCCCCGCCCCCCCGCATTATACTTACCTTTTATTTGGCCCCACCCCCAATCTATTGCTGCCTCCTGAGTCCCAGCTGATGGCTAGAGGGAAAAAAACTGTTTAAACTCTTGCTGCAGGGCTTCAAAAGGCCGCCTTACAGCTGATCAGTGTTAAAAGAAAACAAATGAGTAGACCGGTGCCTGCAAAAATAAATGGGTAGACCAGTGCCTGCAAAAATTCATGAATAGATCAGTGCCTGCAAAAAATAAATGGGTAGACCGGTACAGCTCTGCAAACAGTTAAAAGCCTGGTAGACCAGTACCTCTGCTAAATCCTAAATAATTGTCACATGACCATCAAGCCACACCCACAAAATAAGCCACGCCCACAGAACCCGTAGTAAAAAAATTTAGAACCCACCCCTGCTCCCGCTGGCCAGCTGGTCTTCGGGTCTCTGCCATTCATGCATGGGGACAGGGATCATGCAGGGCGTGTGTGCATGTGTGGGGGGCAGGGCGAACGCAGGGCACGTGTGCATGCATGGGGGGCAGGGGACATGCAGGGGGGCATGTGCGCATTGCATTTTGGGAGTTCACACATGCTTCCGGCACTTGGTCCGGAAATTGTCCTGCAGCGAGTTGTCCCAAGGTGAGTTGCCTGTGGCGAGTTGTCCCATATCGAGTTGGCCATGGCAAGTTGACCTCAGCAAATTGGCTGTGGAGCATTGTCCCATTCCATCCCTTAAAGGCCTGAAGATCTGGCTTGGTCAGTTGGCTTGGGGCCCCAATGGGGGTATATCCCACTGGAATTGGTCGACAGAATAGCAGAAGATCCCACCTGCCCCCTTGTGCATCCCGTTTCCTTCCTTCCTTCCACTCTTTTTAATGGTAATCTTTATTGTTATTGGACATATGTATTTGTTATGGCTTTATTGGCTTTTAATGTTGTAAGCTGTCCGGTGAGGTGAGATACTGTAGGTGGTGAACAACCTAATAAATAAGCAAGCAAGCAAGTAAATAAATGACATCTACTCAATTAGCATAGAAATCAAACTGGTTAGGACATGCTGCTCTCCTCCTACTGCACTTTTGAATATCTGTTTACTTATTTGCAAATCTATGGGTGCCAACAAGCTTCTGTTGTTTGCTGGCTGTGCTGGTGGGAAATTCCAAAACGTGATGTGGTGTCCCAATGTTTCTGGAAGATAAGGAAAAACATATGGAGGATAAAAGAAAGTAACATGATTATGTGTGCCTCCACAGGCAGAGACAACTGGAGAAAGTGATCACACATACTTGGCAAATATGCCTCGTTTTTCATCATCTCAAAAGAATTACTTAATACAGGTTCTCCTGCATGTTGCAAATTATATTTCAAAGCATGTGCGCTGTTCCAATATAGGCATGAGAACACAACCAATTGTTACTCTGATACCAGGCTCAGATACATCCATTATCTCACTAATAAGAAAACAGTTAAGACCAAAAAATAGTTTGAACCCCTGTAATCAGAGGTCCATATCCAGGGGTGGGCTTTAAAAAATTGAGCAAGGGATTCTCTTGCTGGATGGTTGCTGGGTGGGCGTGGCCATGGTGGGCGTGGCCTAGTCAGCCTCCTGCACCACAGTTGAGGGCCATTTTTGCCCTCCCTGGGTTCCAGAGTCTTTTCTTGAGCTTCCAGAAGGACGAAAACAGTCTCCCCAGGCTCCGGAGGCCCTCTGGAGGTTGTTTCCGGCCTTCCTGAACTTCTGATAGGCCCGTTTTTCACCCTCCCTGAGCCTCCATGCACGCTCTGCACTTACCTGCATCCAAAAAAGGCTGCGTGGGGACTCCTGGGAGGGGTGGGTTGAGGTGGGTGGGGACAGACAGTAGTGGGATTTGGGGGTTCTCCGAACTGCACAGAATCTTAGCGAGAGGTTCTCCCAAACCCCTGTGAACCCCCATCAGCCCACCCCTGTCCATACCTCCTTCCCGCCCAAAAAAGTTTTGACTCCTCTTTGAGCCAATCTCCTTTTGAGTCAGCTGAGTTAGGTTGCGATAGGGCAAAGAAGATGCTAGCAGAGAAATGCCTTTAGTTGGGCTTAAAGGAATCTTTAATTAAACATACATTCCAGAAATGCAAAGGTGGGGAAATTGTGATTTCTACATTTATGAGTTCTATTCGACTAGAAAAATTAACAAAAGCAAAAGAGAACTTGCAACAGTATATCAAGCTGATTAATTGTAATTAGGAGACTGTACCAGAGTATGGAACTTGTGGTTTTCAAATGTTTACCCACAGATTTAATAAAGATCCATGATGAGTCATTAATCTTAGCTTACCTTACCCAAGGTTATATTTTAAGAGATAATGAAATTAAATGTCTTCTCCAAAGAGGTTCATCTGTTGCTGATAATGATTAGCTGTTAGATAGCTATTAGTGATTATCTAGGCAAAGATATCCAGGTTGTCTAACATGCCAACAAATATAATTCACACTGACCTTTCTTTCTTTTTCTTTTCTTTTCTTTCTTTCTTTTTCTTTTTTACAAACAATTGATTGCAATGGCTTTATTCCATTATTTTTTTTGGCGGGGGAGGATGTGTATTTCTTCTGAGTTTCCAGAACTTTGACATTTGATAAGATTCTAATTAAGTTGACAGAACTGACAAATTTCACATATTAAAATAGATTAAGTCCTACAAATGAAACTATTGAGGGGGAGGTGAGTAGAGTAGAGTAGAGTAGAGTAGAGTAGAGTAGAGTAGAGTAGAGTAGAGTAGAGTAGAGTAGAGTAGAGTAGAACAGAACAGAATTTTTTATTGGCCAAGTGTGATTGGACACACAAGGAATTTGTCTTGGTGCATATGCTCTCAGTGTACATAAAAGAAAAGATATTGTGCTGTGGTAAGGTTTGTTAAATAAATCATGACTGGATTTACACACTAAATTGTAAAAATGATTGTTTATAACCTATCCTTCCTTGATTCTTTTTTTTCTTAAAAATAGTCAAAATCAAACAATGGCTTAGTTCGCAGGGCTTCACCTATGGTGACAGTCAAGCAGATTGGATGCAAGGATGGATGGGGTAGTTATCTCAATGATGCCATCTTTTGAGGAGAGGAGCTGAATAAGGTTCACAAAAAATATGCAGAGGCATGAGGGTCTAGAGCTGTGATATCCGAACCTATGGCATTTGTGCCAGAGGTGGGATAAAGAGCCCTCTCTGTGGCCATGTGTGCCATCGCCAGCTACTCTTCCGGTTTCTGGTGCACCAGCTGATCTTCAGATGCACCGGAAAACCGGTCAAAAAACAGACCAATTTTGGGGCTGTTTTCTGGGCTGTTTTCAGGCCAAAAATGGCCCGAAAATTGGCCTGAAAATGACCCGAAAAATGGCCTGAAAACAGCCCCCAAAATGGCCAAAAAATAGGCATGCACACGCTGGCCAGCTGGTCTTCGGGTTTCTGGTGCTCCGGCATGCGCACATACCCTGATAATAAGACATCCCTTGATAATAAGCCCAATCGGGCTTTTGAGCACATGTGCTAAAATAAGCCTCCCTCCCAAAATAAGCCCTCCCCAAAAATATTTAAACGCAGAGCTGGAAATCTGGTAAGACGGCAAAAGGAGCCCCATCTTGCTCCATGCGCCCCAAAATAATAAGACCTCCCCAAAAATAAGGCCAAGCATTTATTTCAGGGTTCAAAAAAATATAAGACAGGGTCTTGTTTTCGGGGAAACATGGTACACGTGCATCCACGCAAGTTTCGATTTGGGCACTCGGTGCTGAAAAGGTTCG